TTATCCTGACCTATTCGTTGGATTACGTGATAAAGATGGTTTCTTGATCCTGTAGTTTCTCCTTTGCTTTCGATTTTCTCTTCTCCTTTGCTTCGTTATTCCCAAAGGCTGGCGTGTCTCGATATCGTTCGGGTTAAAGCAAACCTAATTCCAGCAGGCTGGTTCCATAGCCGCCTGTGTCCATCGAGACGAGCAGATCTCCCGTTCGCTGTAATCGTGCAACAAAGCTCACCCCTTTTTTGTCCCTCGTCCTCTCGAAGCGAGACGCGTTCTGCCCGCAAAATTGTCGCGCCGACGGAAACCATCCCTAAACCTCCTCGCCGTTATTGGGGAAAAGTAAAACTCATTCTCTTCCGTCCCCGTGAGTTAAAGTGAATTAATTCCGCAATCCAAATGGCAAGATTTTTATCAAAAAATTCAACAAAAGAAAGAAGAGCTTAGGTAATAAAAGAAAAACTTGAGGGAATGAAAAGTTAAAAATGACAAATATGTACATCAGGTTTAATTTATTTTTTAGAAGGACTTAATCAGTTTTTTCCAAAAACAATGGAAAAGATCTCCAAAAATTCTAAAATAACAGATTAAAGAATGTAAGGATTTAATAATTTTGTTGAGAGGGGAAAAAAGCGTAGAAAGTGTTTACCATAGTCAATCTCAACTAACAATTTACCCTCTTGCCTTTGAAAAAAAAAAACACTAGGTTTATCATTCCTTTCATCTTGTCCCCTTTTTCTGCTTGCAAAAATCATCCTCTCGGTTGCATTATTGCGCAAGATGAAAGAAAAAAATGGACAGGATTACGCGACTAACGAGCCGTCAGACTGCCGTCAGGAACGAATTAATTATTGTCCTTTAACAGTTTCGTTTCCGGCTCCTGAACTCTCAGTGTCGCCGCCGTTCCGGGAGGGATCGGCAGCAATATTCAATTTCATGTATCCCCTTTGCACCAATGGCTTCTCTACCACCATCCACACCAGTATCAATGGACAATTATTATCCTTTGACTGTCCCTCGAATTTCGGTATGTGAATCACTCCATCGGAAAAACGACCGTCGAACTGTCGGAAATTAATTGCCAAAATTTTGACAGACACGGATGCTATTAATTCGAATATCAAGTTCTGAAAGATCATCACGTCAACTCGCACGGACGCGAGAAAAATCACACCTACATAAATCTCATTTTTATATGAAGCACTACAAATGTAATTAGGTATATGATGGTATAACAACAGAAATGTATAAAGAATAATTGATAAATATGGAAAAAAAAACTCACTAATTTTAAATTCTGATAACGTCAATGAACAATATAATTAGCACCAATAAAAAATATCATCAATTTTCTCATTAAAAAGTGACTTTTGGAATTTTTAAGTAGAACTATATTTTATTTTCGTTAATACTGTTGAGATTACCAAAATAAATTCTGATTATTGAAAATTATATGTTTTTATTTTCATTTAATATAGAGAAGAACTGAACGTAACTTAAATGTTATTTTTATTTTATATTTGCTATTTGAAGACGTTGCAACTGAATCTTATTATTTCAAAACTGGATTAAAGTAATCTTAGAGTTATTTTAATTTTTATTAAAGTAATTTGTATAAGAATTAAAAAACGAAAATTTAGTTGATAAGATTTTGTAGATTTTTTTTGTGATAAAAATAAGTAATTGGGAAGCAAGGTGGATTGAAAGTATTCGCAAAGCCGCGGGAATCCCGCCGTTTTAATGACGAATGAACGAGCAGCGGGTATACATATGAGACATGAGCATTCCCGACAGGTGCACGAATCGATTGTTATTCCGCGCGGCTCGTATACGAGCAGCATCATTAATTGTAATGCCTGCCATGGCGTTGCCTTTTAACGCGCGCGCTTAGTCGCGACGCGAGGCAGTCGTGTGCGATAATCGGGGCTAAGTCGAATATCGATCAGCGCGTACGCAGTTCTCACAGGTTCTTATCAACACTAAATATAGGTGTGTTCGCGTTGCTTGCACTTTCTACACTCAGCATCTTCGCTTTCTCTCTTTTCAACGCAAAATATTTATCTATCTCATTTTATTTAAAGTTTGAAAACTTTTGGGGATTTCAAGCAACGCGAACAGATCATATGTTGCATTACAATTCCGTTCTCAGTTTAACATCTGAGATAATAGGGAATTAAAGAGAAGGAAAAAAATGTTGTATAGAATATGATGAACTATTTAATCAATGTTGCAAACAATGATGCAAACAATTCTAAGACTTAATTAATTGTTTGTGTTTTGAACTTAATTAATTGTTTGTGCTTGAAACAAAATTGTTGGGAGATTACAAAGTTAAATTCTAACATTAATTTTTTTCAGTTTTTGAGATAAATTGATTTGGGTTACATCTCATTGGAGCTTTATAAGGAAATATAATACAAGATAGGATGTGATAGTAGTTGCGATCGAGCAATGTAGCGTCGCTAATCAACGATGGTCTCAGATCGCTTATTGATGAATTTATGGCTCTCTATGCGATTCCATTAATTCGTTAATTTAAGCAACGACGCCTACGCAAACGACGACGCTCATTCGCGTTGCTTATCATGCTCTATTTTGAGTTAAATGCTGCTGTCGCCGTCGCCGTCGCGGCTTCTTCCTTCAGCTGCGAACACCGCCGAACTTCTTTCATTCTCTATTTTCATCCCCCCTAAGCGCGTTATTTTCGCCCGTAGAGGAAAGATATTGTCTTCCCGGAACATCGTCGGATGTCTAGAAATTTTTATTAGTTCTTCTTTCTTTTCACCTTCTCCTTTTTTCAGTATACCGGTGCACTGCACAATTTTCTTACTTAAAGTTAGCTTAGGAAAGAATTTAAACACATGTACATCTACATATTCAGTACACATATTCCAATTCATACTACTGTTTTATATTAATAATCAAAGATAGAAATATATGTATAACTTTATATTTTATGTATAACTCGACATTTTAACACTTTTATTAAAAAAGAGATTGATTCAAAATAAAGATTTAATGAGATTGATTTAAAATAAAGAATTTGTTGTTGAAAATATTGATCTCGATTTGAATAATAATAAGCATATATGAAATATAATGTTCAAAATTAAACAGTTGCAATAAATGATGACTTATTCGTAAAGTGAAGGAATCAATAGAAATTATAGTTTTATTTTAGATAATTAAATAAACTTTTAAAATCTATATTATTTAATATTATAATTTCTGTTGACAGTTAAATAGTGATATGAATTACTAATTCCACGAAATTAAAATTAAATTATCATGAAATCACGAAATATTTAAAGAATTTTATTAATATTTAATACATTATTGATATTTAATATTTAATATTTTGACATTAGAATGAGGATCTTGTGTACATATATATAAAATTTTGGATATATAATTTGTAAAAATTTCTATTTCAAACTGTACATTCAATAAACTATGTTACACAAATATAAGAACATAATTTTGTTAGATTTAAATGCTATCAAAGAGAATTATATATTGTTGAATCATATGCTGACTCGTCTATGTTATCAAAAATTCTTGGTAGACCTTAATGTCGTTACAGTTCTGCAATTCTTCAACAGCTCGATGCAGTTTCCTCGTCACGTCCATCGTATCGTCTTAAAATAGCGATCTCGAGATGTGTCACACTTCCTGATCACATACGTCATCATCTTTGGCCCTTGATTTCTCGAAATTTTCAATTCATAAGTGCTTTTCATGAGAATCTGAGTAATCATGAGATTAACCAATAAACGCGAAAAATAATATTAATATAATAATTATTATATATATATATATTTATGATAGATTTATAACTATATCATTTATGAATTTAAAATTTCCAACACATTGCCTCAGAAGTTTTTCCAATTGTAATTATAAAAATTGAAATTGCGTCAATGTTGATATTTACGATGAATTTTTGTAGAAATAAATTGAAAGAGGAAAGAGAAAATGAAAGGAAGTGGCAAAAGACGGGGGGAAGACGAAGCTAAGAAGAAAGAGATGAGGTGGGAGGAGATGAAGGAGGAGAAGGCGCACGAGAGAGAGTATATACCTACGAATAGAGAAACGTGTGCTCGCGTATTCAGTTACGTCCGGTGCGTCGTAGCGTCGAGACGCTTCCGTGTTTTGTATTGCGAAGCCTCGCAATGCAATACGACACGACGTATCGTGTCGTTCGCTCGATCGTTTTGGAGAACGAGGTTGAATTACTCGCGAATTGAACAATTGAACGATTGATTATGTTTTCTCCTCTTTTTTTTTCTTCTCCTTCGGCCCTTCCACCGCTTTCGACGCTTGAAAGAAGATTGTGAGAATGATGAGCCGTGCAGGGATCCAGACACGAACATTGAATCAACAATTTATTAATCTCATTAGAAGAATTGAGGATTAATGAAAAGATTCGTGTGTGAATGTTTTTATTAATTCATTCATCGAGACATATTGATTTTTTCTCGTATTTTATTTTGTATAAATTATTTTATGTGTCAGTGCATGATGGTCTTATGAAAAAAAATATAGAGAAACATGACTGTACTAACAAAAAATATATGTAAAAGGATACATATAAGAATGGATTCCAGTAAAATGATCTCTCTTAACAGAATTAATATAAGTCAACTAACTAATATCGATTTGTTCAAATATCCATCTTGTCAAGACTCATTATCAGTATTATATTATTACATTAACATAATATCTCTTAATTTAAATCTCATAGAAGAAGAAGAAGAGACCATGATAGTAAATAAAAGAATAATCGTATGTGCGGTTGTGAATTGAGAAGAAAAATTGAGGACAAAAGTGAAAGATAAAAAAAAATTGATTTTAATTATAATAATATGCGATTGCAATGATGCATCATTGCGTGATGGTCGAATGGAAAGTGAATGGTAAAGGTATAATTTGTGAGGAATAATCGGGAGGGCAGACTCGGATGACGCTAGGACGTCACGGGGGTCGCGACGACCACCGGCGGCATCATGGCGTGTATCAGGGCGCCAAGATCCGTATGCGGTTCTATCGACGACATCAAGGCTGAGTCCACGCGTAATGTTGTGCAGGTAATTCTTTCCTTCTCTCCCGCTCTCTCGTATCTTTTTCGTCGAGAAATGTCAAATATGTTTATAACTATACTTTGCGAATCTATTAACATCTCTTTACGAATTTATTATTGTGTATGTTGTTATCACTATTTTTGATATGATAGAAAAGCAGTTATACAATTAAATGTACTTGAAAATAAAAAGCACTTATAGGTCAAACGATTAAAAATAGGTTCAGACTAAATGAAAACAAGACAGTTGAGACACACTCGTTTCTGACGAGTGAATCTTTATGGTGTGATCTAACTAACCTTGATTTATTTAGTGCTTAAATTCAATGAATATGATATTGGAAGATTTAAATTAACGTGTAAAAATCAGTATTTTAATTATGTAATACTCAAATATTCTTCTTTTTTTAATTGAACTTCACTGATTATCAGTGCAAAGTATACCACTTGATAATTAATGGCTATCCACGGATTCAGATTTAGAGAATATATATTATGACAAATATTATTTTCCTTGTTTACATCAACATGATACTTTTGCGTATTATAATCAGTGCGATCCATTTCCAATTTAAACATAAAAACAAATGACAACAATAAAATATTTCTCAAGAAGATGTAATTATCTGATATCTGATAATTTTTTAATATGTTCATATCTATAAGTAAGCACCGAGGATATAAATCATGCGCGGAAGCATGAATTGTCCTGACGCGTTTACCGCGCTGGCGAAGCGCCAGGCTTTTCAGCGTGAGCGAGCGAGCGAGCGAGCGAGCGAGGAGCAGCTCTTGAGTCACCGAAGAGGCAAACCGCGCCGTGCACTCGCTCGTAGCTCGCAGCTCTGGACGACGGAAAGCGCAAGGGGACACAAACTCGGTTGTCGTACAGACGAGAGGAAGAGGAAGAGAAAGAGGAGGATGGAGGAGTAGCCACGCAGAGAGTGAGGAGAGAAGAGAGTTAGTCATCGCGTACTATTTTTGAGCGCGCAAAGAGACGAGCGGTACGAAGGGACGCACGGAGGGTTTTACTTCATGATCTCAGGTCGCCATTATTACGGCGGTCGCGATGGGGTCGCCGTTTCGCAGATTCTTTTTCCACTTTCCCGGAGTATTTAAGGAGAGAGAGAGAGAGAGAGAGAGAGAGAGAGAGAGAGAGAGAGAGAGAGAAATGAAGAGTACTCTTTCTCTCTGTCTCTCTCTCTCTCTGCTGAAGCAAGATCGAGCGGAACACATATGTTAAAGAAACTCGTTGAGACAGAAAGCAAGATAGTCTATTATCTATGTTAATATAGTGTTTGTAATTTTGATATAAAATGAATAATAAATGAATTGTTTGAAACTTTTGGAAATGTTAATGTTATTAAAAAAAATAATTGATTTAATTATATTCTTAAGTATTAAAAAAAAATGTTGGCAAAATAAAATAATGAGAAATAAATTATAAGAAGATATTCATCACTCAAGATGTTTATGATAAATTAATTTTTTTCACGAAGCATACAATATAAACGTTTATGAATTTATATATATTCAATATATATATATATATATACTACAAAGATATGACACGATTCAGTATCAACGTATTTACAGTGTCTGCACGAATTAC